TAGAATAGAATAAGGAATAGAATAATATAGAAGAGAAGAGAATAAGGGATAGGATAGAATAGAATAAGGGATAGAATAGAATAAAATAAGGGAATAGAATAGAATGGAATAAGGGATAGAATAGAATAGAATAAGAGATAGAACAGAACAGAACAGAATAGGGGATAGGAGAGAAGAGAATGGAAGAAAATATAGAATGGAGGATGGAGAACAGAATAGATGAGAATAGAATAGAATAAAAGAGATAATAGAATAAAGGAGAGAAGAGAAGAGAAGAGAATATCCTTAACAGGAATAGGATACGATGGCGTTTGCACCTTCAGTGAGCAGAAGAACATCTGAAGAACTTGAGGAAGACGATCGTTCTTAGAAGAACATCGTGGCCCAAAAGGCTGCTTGGTTTTGGGAAACTTGAGCTGGGTGGGTTTTCTCAGCTTCATCCCGTCACATCTTTGTGGGAGGATATTCAAGAGTTGTGGTGAGGATGATGAACGCGCAGGGGTTGCGTATTGTAGGAAAGAACCGTACCCGGAGACTTCGTGTGGTTGGCTTTCCATTCTTCCTCCAGCAACCCCCACTCCCCTTGGGTGCCTAGTCTTTCGAATCCCCTTCCACTCTTCTATAGGGGGGCAGAGTGGGGGTCTCTCCCGAGGGCTGTAATTTTCCCATGCTGGGGAGAGGGAGGGAAAGGTTTTGGCAAAGCTGCCGAAGACATTAAAACACACATTATGCATTTCCCCCTCCGCACGCCACTCAGGAAACGCCGGCTACAAATAATCGGCTCCTCCCAGAGCATAAAACAAACTGTTATTTAGGAAAGAGGAGTCAAGCTGCTAGGAGTTATATCCTTTACTAATTACAGGGCCCTGCGTATGTACACGGCTTTTATCCAGTAGTAGCTTTCGCTGCTATTCACTCGGCGCTCGCTGCACACTGGAGAGATATATTTTCCCCCCTTTGCGAGAGAGGAGGGGGCCCAACAGTGGCTGGAGAATATTGTTTGCACCGTTGCAAGGGAGTAAATGGAACCGAAAACTTCTGTTGGCTTGGTTTCTAAAATATATGTATATCTTTGAATTGAATAGAATAGAAAAACAGAATAGAATAGAATAGAACAATAGAATAGAATAGAAAAACAGAATCGAATAGAAAAGAAAAATAGAATAGAATAGCAAAACAGAATAAAATAGAACAATAGAATAGAATAGCAAAACAGAATCGAATAGAAAAGAAAAATAGAATGGAATAGAAAAATAGAATAGAATGGAACAATAGAATAGAATAGAATTGAACAATAAAATAGAATAGAAAAACAGAATAGAAAAATAGAATAGAATCAAATAATAGAATAGAATAGAAGAATAGAATAAAAGAATAGAACAGAACAATGGAATAGAATAGGACAGAACAATGGAATAGAATAGAAACCAATAATAGAATAAAATAGAATAGAAAAACAGAATAGAACAGAGTAGAATTATTTTTAAAAAAAATTGGCACCAAGGGAATACAGGTCGTCCTCCACAAGTCTTCAACCTGGGGATTTCTGGGATGTGAATTTCACAAGTCTTCAAGTCGCCAAGGTTGGACAGCCTCTGGTTTAGAGACTTTGCAAGGTTGAAGGTGTCAGGCTCTTTTCATTGACACCTTTCTTCTTTTCACTTCCAGCCTCACGGTGGGCCAGGTGGGCCAGAACTTCACCTTTGTCCTCACGGATATCGACAGCAAACAGAGGTTCGGCTTCTGCCGTTTGTCCTCAGGGGCCAAGACCTGCTTCTGTATCTTAAGGTAAGCCAGAGTTTGCTCTTCCTCCTGCCTCTAGGAAGCCAGGTGGCTGTTCTGCTTTGGTGACCTAGAATCTTAGAACATTGGAGGTCTTCTAGTCCAACCCCCTAATCAAGGTAGGAGATCTTGTTGAATCCCGGACAAATGGCCGTCCCATCTGTCAAGACAACCCCTTGGTCTCTCTTTTCCTTTAGAAGTCACTGCACTCCTGGAGACTCTAGTCACACCAGAAACTTTCTCTCAGAGTTGATCTCCCTGGCTTCCTAACCATCATTGTGTTCCTAACAGAAGAACAGAGTCCGGTAGCTTCCCTCGGGCCTCTGGGAGGGCAAAAACGGCCTCCCCCGGGCTCCAGAGGCCCACCAGAGGCCCGTTTCCAGACTTCCGGAACTTACGGGAGAGCCGTTTTTCACCATCGCCAGAGCCTCTTCACAAACCCTGCGCTTACCCGCATCTGAAACAGGCAGTGTGGAGACTCCTGAAACAGGTTGGGTGGGGTGAGCGGGGCCAGCCGGTCAGTTTGGTGAACCAGATGTAAATTTAACATCCGAACCAGTTTGAACCGGCTGAATCCCACCCCTGGGGTTGCCCAGTCTTCTTCTTCAAGACCTCCAGCGTTGGAGCACCCTCAACTTCTAGAGACAAGTCATTAATTGTTGTAACTGTCAGGAAATTTCTCCTTAGTTCAAGGTGGTTCCTCTCCTTGATGAGTTTCCATCCGTCGCTTCTTCTTCCTCTGTGTCCTGCCCCTGTTGGAATCTGATTCTGAGGGGGAGGTTGAGCAGCTGACAGGGAGTGGGGATGTGGCTCCGGTGGCTGTGGAGGAAACGGGGAAAGGGCACAGTCTGGCTGGACATTCAGAGGAAGACCCAGGCCCAGCCACTCTTCATCCTAGGGCACTGCAGGGAGGAACGGATAAGGGAGTAACATGGGATACGGGGGAGAAAAAGGCCCTGATTCCCTTCATTAGCTGCAGCTGGGAAGACAGGATCAAAAGGGTGTTTGCGCACAGAACCTTGCTGGAAGCAAAGCGTGAATTATATTTGTTTATCAAGGTATATCTGGTTTCTGGCGTCCTCCCAACTTTGTGTGTTTCGTTATCTTTTGACTTCTGCAATTCCTTATCCTGCCCTGTCTCGTTAATTGCTGCAGCTTGTGGTTTGTGTTGGTTTTTATTTATAATTTATATGTACTTTGAGTTTGGACTGAATTTCTTCCCTTTAAAAACTGTTCTTGGGAGAGCTTTTTGCTCCAGCCGAATGATAACTGGACATTGGGGGCCAAGTTGGAGGAATTAAAGGGACTTTACCTACTTTGGGGACTTTGTTGCTTTTTGTGCCACGCCCCTTTGGGTCATCACACTCTGCCTTCAGATACTTTGGAGAACAGACTGACTCCCTCTTCTATGTGGCAGCCCCTCAAATATTGGAAAGACTGCTATCATATCGCCCCGGTCCTTCTTTTCACTAGACTAGACCTACCCAATTCCAGCAACCGTTCTTCGTATGTTTTAATCCCCCAGTCCCCTGATCATCTTGTTTTTTTAAATATCATGGCAACCCCAAACTGGATGCCATATTCCAGGGATCTTGCTTCCTAGCAGAGCCTGGACTGCCATCGTTTGCCGGTGCGATTTTTTGTAATGCAGCCACCTCCCTCCAATTAATGTTCCTCTTCCCTCCAAGGTCCATCTTAACGAGTCTCGAAAGTCTTTCTGCGGCTCGTTTATTCGGTGCGCAGATGACTTTCCTTCCATGTTGAGAAGGCCATGCCTCTCCTTTCCAAGCAGCAGAGGGCACGGGAGAGCCCCAAGCAGACATAAAACTCAGGGGTTGGAGAGCTGCACTTGTGAAATCTCCCTTTCTAATACCTGAACGTCTTCCTTCCTTCTTCGGGTGATTTCCGCCGCCGCCGAGTTAATTTAAAGAAATGGTCTGCTGGCAATTTGCTTTGGAAATACCCGGAGCTCTGCGCTCTCTGAAATCCAGGGCCGAATATGAAGTCCACCTCGCTGGCCATTAAAACTGTGGCTTATCCTGAGCATTTTGACCCAGGAGAACTTACAAGAGTAACTAACTTACTCCTCGACTTACGACTACAATTGGAATCCCGGGATTTTAATGCGTTCTGCAGTGCAGGAAGTTTTGTTTTCTGCAAGTGGTTGCTAGTGGTTGAAATGGGGAATCAACGTCCCTTCCTACAGGCCATCCTTGACTTACGACCGCAAATGGCAGCAGAATTTTCCAGTGCTAAGAAAGATGGTGATTATATAAGTGAGACTCGCTTTGATTTTACAAGCTTTCTTGCCACACGGCAAGAAACAAGTTTTCTTTGTTAAGCGAATCACTGCAGTTCTGAAGTGAATCATCATGCAGTCATTAAATGAATCCCCATTGTCGGAAGCCAGCTGGAAAGATTGCAAATGGAGAACCTCTTGAGCCCGGGAATCCTGCAACCATCATAAACACAGGCCAGTGGCCGCGCACCCAAATTTCAATCGTGGGACCATGGGGTTGCTGTGACAGTCATAAGTGCGAGGACCAGTCCTGGGTCTCTTTTTCAGTGCTGTCGTTGGATGCTGAACAAATGGCCGTAAGGTGAGGAATATCTTTAGTTTACACTTCTGAAATGCAAAGAATGAAATGGCTCACAGCCATTATGAAGATCCAGGAATTCCAAACCAGATCACAACCCAAAGGTGGAATCCGGCCAAGGAGAGAGCTGGCTGCAACCAGGACGTCCAACGTAGATGGAAAGCCAATTGATCAGAATAGATTTGGAAGAGACCTTGGAGGTCTTCTAGTCCAGTGGTCACCAACCAATGGGCCGGGGTCCATGAGAAAATTTTGGTGGTCAGCAGAAAAATGTCCGTCCCCCCAAAGCAATTAATCCAGGTTGCACAGGAGCACAAGGCTGCACCGCCCACATGGCCCATGGGAACCCAAGGCTTGCGTCGCTTGCATTGCGAACAGCACGATGTAGTGAGGGCAGAGGGGGAGAAAGGGCGGAGGGGAGGAACTTGCCCCACTCAACCCACGCGCCTGGCCTGGCCACCGGGCTGCTTCTTCCCACTTCTTTCTTCTGCTTTTGGCTGCACGCAAGGAAAGCAGCCAAAGTCTTCCTTTCTCTCCCCAAAACTCTGCCAGAAATGAGTCTTTGGGACCCTGCAAGGCCTCCTGCTCCAAGAGGCTGCACCAGCAGAGACTCATTTCTGGCGGCGTTTGGGGGAGAGAAAGAAAGACTTCTGCTGCTTCTGCTGTTTTCCTTGCATGAAGCCAAAAGTCTCTCCCTTTCTCTCTCTCTCTTTCCCCTGAGAACGGAGCTGGAGACTGTATCCTGCGATCCCAAATAAAGAATGATCGATCAGTAGGAAAACGGGGTGGGAAACTTTCCTGCAGACTTTTTTGGGGGGATTTTCCCAGGGGATTTAAAATTATGGAGTTTGGTGGTCCCTGAGGTCCAAAAGGTTGGCGACCCCTGATCTAGTCCAACTGAGTCATGCCAGAGACCTCTTACGCTTTTTTGGGGAGACAACGTGACTAGATTAGTAGACCGAGGACATGATCTGGATGTAGCATATCTTGAATTCATTTCAGGCATTTGATAATTATCAATCAGAATAGAGCTGGAAGGGCTGTTGGAGGTCTTCTACTCCACCCCCCCTGCTCAAAGAAGGAGGGCCTATGCCAAATTTACAATAGAATAGAATTCTCTGATTGGACACACGAGGAATTTGTCTCCGGTGCACAGGTGCTCAGTGTACATAAAGAAAAAATAAAGTACATCCTTCAAGAATCATAAGATAACAACATTTAGCTGTTGTTATAGGTTACTAATAAGCAATCAAATCCTACATAGGTTACTAATACGCAATCAGAACATACTAGTAAAACAAATAAAACAATATAAATCGTAAAGGTATAAGCAACATGGTTATAGTCATAAATGGGAAGAGGTAGGTAATATAGGAAGGATGAGAAGAAGAATAGTACTACTAATATAGCAGTAGAAAGTTTGACTGTCAACTCATAAAATATTTCTATGGTCCACAGAGTCAGCTATACCCAGGCAGTTCCTTTTGAAGTTTTGGAAGTTTGGCTCGAGACTCGTGATTTAAATGGGGGTAACCTCCGGAATCCTGACATTGACAGGGTTGTGGGAGTTAGTTCTTTAGCAGAGGGATGTGCAGGGTCTTCGTTATCCGTAGCCTCATCTCCCTTCAACGCCTCTTGTGGTCGCTATAATGAAGCCACCTAGGTTCCCAGCCTGCCCCCTCCCTGAAATAAGAAACTGCCTTGTGTTTTTATTTTATCTTTCGAATTATTTCCTTTCTTCTTCTTCTTCTTCTTCTTCTTCTTCTTCTTCTTCTTCTTCTTCTTCTTCTTCTTCTTCTTCTCCTCGTCCTCCTCGTCCTCCTCGTCCTCCTCCTCCTCCTCCTCCTCCTCCTCCTCCTCCTCCTCCTCCTCCTCCTCCTCTTCTTCTTCTTCTTCTTCTTCTTCTTCTTCTTCTTCTTCTCCCCCTCCTCCTCCTTCTCCCCTCCTCCCCCTTCCACTCTTTCTTCTTCTTCTTCTTCTTCTTCTTCTTCTTCTTCTTCTTCTTCTTCTTCTTCTTCTTCTTCTTCTTCTTCTTCTTCTTCTTCTCCTCCTCCTTCTCCTTCTCCTTCTCCTCCTCCTCCTCCTCCTCCTCCTCCTCCTCCTTCTCCTCCTTCTTTTTCTTCTTTTTCTTCAAAACAGCAGTCGGGCATTGATAGTAACCGGAGCACCCGTTTGTTTGGAGAGAAAAAAAACGAAGCCAAACGAGAGAGCGTTCTTTGCAAGGGAACTTCAAACTACGGCCCATTTCGTTTTGATTACGCTCCCTGGAAGAAACGGTGCTTGAGAAAAATACACAGCTCTGCGATGTTGTGAGACTGCAAAGCCGTAAAGGGCAGCCAGGCTGCAGCGTTTAAATATTGATGCCGACTTGGGCGGGGGGGGGAACCGTACAATCATGTGTAAGATCAG